TATCTATATTATATTATATATTAATATCTATATCTATATTATATTATATATTAATATCTATATCTATATTATATTATAATCTCCGCGCAGCGGACGAATGTCGTGTATGGAGTTAAAATCACCCGGATAACCTCTTGACCTCTTGACCTGTTCCTGTGCCGAAGACTGTCACCATCATTTTTCGTCAACAAGTATACTGATTCATAATAAACGATATTTATAACTCGCGATATCAAATCATAATAAGTGTTTAGGAAATTCGTCGCCAATATAAGAGAGTGGTGTTTCTCGGTAGAAATTACTTCCTAGACATAAATTGCTTCGGCGTATCTCGAATGAGGTTCAAACATTGCGTTTCTTATACTCTTGTTTCTGCTACGTGACTATATGCAACGCCGCCCGAGATAAGCGAAGATAGACTGTTCAGTGGCGGATCCAGGATTTTGAGATGGGGGAGGGGCGCAACCGCGTAGCCAGGATTTCATTTTAGGGGGTGCGGATTTTGTGATAGCGCCTGTGCGCACGCTTCGCGTGCCGTGGGGCGCGCGCCTCTTGCGCCACCCCCCTTGGATCCGCTACTGCTGTTGACGCCACCAACGCCGCTTGTAAATTGAGGCTCGAATACTCTGTTGACACGTGTGAGTTTTCTTCGCGGGCTCTACGCAGGGAAGTACGCAGTACGCAGCACTGAACTAAAACTAAGTTAGTTTTTAGTTAACTAAGTTAGTTTTAGTTCAGTGGTACGCAGTAGCGTAACATGCGTATTGTGAGGCGAGGAGAATGAAAGTTACTACACGCCAGCAATCACACGTGACGGAGTGATAGAAAAAAGAACGGAGAAGAAAAGAAAGTGGGATAGCTATACGCTCACTTAGCGCACGTATGATGAGAAATATATATCAGCGAGAGTTGCGATGTATTTTTGGTATATTTATACAGTATTCATCAGACACTGAACAAGAACTAGCGGTTCTATTATTTCGTTTCTCTGTCGCGTGTCAATACCTGAACTAATTGTAAACCATAAACTTATATATAACTTAAACTTTTACATAAACCTTAAACCTTAAGCCTATAGAATTAACCCTAAACTGAACCCGAATCTAAACCCTGACATAAACTCTAACATGCATGAACACTATCGTAAACCCTAACGTAAACCCTAACCTGAATTCTAACCTAAACACTTACCTGAACTCTAACCTAAACCCTATCATAAACCCTATCATAAACTCTAACCTAAACCCTATCATAAACCCTAACTTAACCCCTACCATGAACCCTAACCTAAACCCTATCATAAACGATAACCTAAACCATAACCTAAACCAGGTGGGGACGGGGTGTGTGGGGGGGGGGTGCGTACGTGCGTGCGTGCGTGCGTGCGTGTGCGTGCGTGCGTGTGTGTGTGTATGTGTGTCTGTCGCGAATATGCTGAGCAAAGCCTCGAGGGGAAATTACAAAACGCGACCGCGCGTAACCCACGCCCGACCCACGCATCTTCGGCTTTTCGCTCGCATCGCAAATCATTCGCCGCTCTAACCCCTACTTGTGTATGTCTTCTTACGTCACTCTATATGAGCGTACGACATTAACTCGGGCACAACGTGTTAATAGGCAACGCCGGGGGTGCGCACGCGTGACTGTGAGTGTATGTACTTCTCACCCGCCTGGCTTTGCTCTGATGTATGGCCGCCTTCTTTGTAGCAACGATGGCTCGCCCCGTGTACTCTGTTGCCTCTGCGACGCTGTATTCTATCCTATCGATCATCTCGCCCTAAAAGTAAAACATGATAAATTTTTGTTGTTGTCGCTATAACCCTTTACCTTACCTTACGGTCGACAAACAGTGCGGATATAATAATAATAATTATTATTATTATTAAATCTTTATTGCATGTAATTCAGATACAAATACATGTACTAATGACAGTTTTTTTCATGGAGAAAAAATCTGATAAATACAATAGCGTTGAGTAGTTAAAATGATAAAATTTCTGACTGATACAGTACAAAACAATGCTATACAACATGAAGAAAAATGGAGAAATAATGAAAAAAGATGAAGAACATGTCGGTGATACACAAACGCCGTGGTATGTACGGGTAAATTCGCTAAATTCGTTAGTACACATATTATCAGGAGTAAGATATATCATTACCTATATTATCTTACTACTGATATTATTTATTACATATATTTTTTATACACGCGCACACGCACACGCACATGAACACGCACCGCACGCACGCACGCACGCACGCACGCACGCACGCGCGCACACACACACACACACACACACACACACACACACACACACACACACACACAGTTATCAGCAGTAAATAATCACAATGTGTAATAATAATAATTTGTGATTATTTACTCCTGATATATTATAATGTTATTACGTACATACAAAATAGAATTTCATCCGTCATTCAAATTTATACGTGTATACTTATATACGTTATATACGTAATACGTAATATACTACGTAATTAAAAGGAGTGAGACATGACACGGAGATCACGCACTTAGGGGGGGGGGTCGGTGCGTTGGGATGGAGGAGGCGGTGGGAGAGCGCATCCCTGCACATCCCTTCACTAATCCACCGGTAAACACACCCAAGTTTTTTCCCCCTAAATTTATCTATTAATAACTTGCGCATCGAAGCGAGTCACCTAATTGTTGATGAGAGAAAACGCGCGTAATTGCGTTGATGGCGGGGAAACAGCCCGGGGCCATGTTAGCTCTACCCGTATGGCTTTACTCGTGTAACTTTATCCATGTAGCTAAAAGTCCAGTCTGCGTCAATAGCTCGTGGGCGAAACTGCTTGGAGCGTGACACCCCCCTCTCTCTCTCTCTTTCCCTCCTCTCTCTCTCTCTCTCTCTCTCTCTCTCTCTCTCTCTCTCTTTCTTTCCCTCACTGCTCTCATCTCTCTCTCTCGCTCTCTGCTCTCTCTCTATTCGTCTCTCTATCGTTCTCATCTCTCTTTTTTCTTTCTGGCTCTCTCTAATCTTATCATCATCTATCTATTTTATCTATCTGATCATTCTATCTCTATCTATCCTAGTCTAGCTATCATCTATCTATCTATCTTATATATCTATCTATCTATCTATCTATCTATCTTATTCTATCTAATTTAAAAATTCATCTACTCTACTCTATCTTATCCATCTGATTTCTATCTACTATCTATCTATCTATCTATCCTATTCTATCTCTCTACCTCTTATCTAGGCCGTATCTCTCTCTCTCTCTCTCTTCTCTCTCTCTTCTCTCTCTCTCTCTCTCTCTCTCTTCTCTCTCTCCGCTCTCTCTCTCTCTCTTCTCTCTCTCCTCTCTCTCTATTCTCTCTCTCTCTCTCTCTCTCTCCTCTCTTCTCCTCGTCTGTTCCTCTTTCTCTCTCTTTCTCTCTCTCTTTCTCTCTCTCTACTGCTCTCTCGTCTCTCTCTCTCGTCTCATCTCTCTGCTCCCTCTCTCTCTCCTCTTCATCTCTCTCTCTCGCTCTCTCCTCTCTCTCTCTCGCTGTCGCTCTCTTTCGCTCTCGCTCTTCTCTCTCT